TTCTGAGACTTATAATAATTTGGTTTGATGATTATGATCGTTAGTATGCATGTGTAGGTTATTTGTGGTTGTTCTTAATGGTTTATTTTTGTTAGTAGTTTAAGTAGCCCGTTAATGTTTAAAGTTTTAAATTGGAATTTTGCAAAAAATTTACTCTGATTTTTATAATTTAACTCGGTAAACTCTTTAAAATAAAGCAGGGCGTTACACTGCAACAACTTCAGAGGAAGAAGTAGCAACACCTTCAATCAGAGAAGAGGTACAGGAGGCTATGGCAGATCAGGATCCTTTAGAGGAAGAGGTAGTCGGTCCAACTTCAAACCAAGGTGTCAAATCAGTCACTTGGTGAACCACACTGCTGATAAGTGTTGGTACAGGATGGATATAAATTTTGTACATGAAAATAGAAACAACTATGCTCAAGGAACCAACTATGCTCCCTCCCAAGGACATTCTTCTTTCTCTTCTCAGAACAAGACTGCAAATGTTGCAAGCATGATTCCCTTTGATCAAAATCAAGACAGCTTTTGGTTCCTGACTCAGGAGTAACCAATCACCTAACTTATGACATGTAAAACCTCAGCATGGCAAGTGAATACACAGGTGGAGAAAGAGTCCATATGGGCAATTGTTTAAGTTTGGGCATCTCACATATTGGTACTTCATTAATTAAATCTTCGACTTCTGAAAGAGACCATTTTATCCTCAAAAACCTTTTGTTTGTTCCTCAAATTGCTAAGAACCTTATTAGTGTCTACCAATTCTCAAAGGATAATGGTGTATATTTTGAATTTCACCCTGATGCATGCTTTGTGAAGGATCTGGAAACAGGAACAACTCTACTTAAAGGAATAGTTAATGATTATATTGCTTCAACCTGTCAACACTCAATGGTGATCAACCCCAGAACCTACAAACTTCCAAAAAGAACTTTTCTTCCCCTTTTTTTAAACAACTTGTTCTGCTGTTGTTTTTTGGAAACTTAAATTGAAAATGTGGCATGTTAGGCTAGGCCATGCTGCACCTGATATTGTAAAAAGTGCTTTAAACTCTTGTCAAATTCCTTATGATATTAATGCAGATGCTTCTCTTTGTTCTTCATGTCAATTGGAAATACGTCACAGATTACCCTTTCATGATTTTAGCACTAATTATTCCAACCCCTTTGACATGATTTATCCTGATTTGTGGGGACCTGCCCCCATCAAATCTCTCTATGGCTATACTTATTATATAAGCTTTGTTGACCATCACACAACACATACTTGGATGTATTTTTACTTAAATCCCAAACTGATGTTGTTTCTGTTTTTCATCATTTCGTTAAGTTGATAAACACTCAGTATAATAAACAAATCAAATGCATTGAAAGTGATGGTGGTAGAGAATTTAAACCATTATTTCAGTTTCTTCAACAACAAGGCACACTTCACAGGCTCTCTTGCCCCGACACACCCCAACAAAATGTCCTTGTTGAAAGAAAACATAGGCATATTGTTGAGACTGGAATTTCCCTCATAACCAATGCATGTATGCCTTACTCCTGTTGGGATCATGCCTTCACTGCAGTTGTCCATATCATTAACAAACTTCCTTACAAAATCCTTCACTACAGATCACCATATGAGATGTTGAGAGGCTCCAAGCCATTATATAACCACCTTAGAGTTTTTGGTTGCCTATGTTACCCGTACACAAGACCCTTAAACAAACACAAACTAGAATTTAGGTCTCAACCAAACACATTCCTTGAATACAACACATCACACAAAGGATACAAAATCCTCCTTCCTAACAAAAAGATTATCATATCTAGTCATGTGGTTTTTGATGAATCTGTCTTCCCTTTTTCCAAACAGCCCCACATAGTTGACCCTCCACCAAATAACCTCTTTCCAAACATTCTACCATTAATATATTCTCCAACATTGCCCCCAGATAACCTTATAATCATCAATAGCCCTCCACCATCTCTTCATCCACCTTCTATTCACTCCACACCGTAATCTTCCAGTATCTCTTCAATTTCTTCTTCATCTCCACATTCAAATCCCTCATCACCATCTCCACTACAAATTTAGAATGGAAGATTAATTATTGATTTACCTCTTGTGAATGCTCAAACTAACCCACAGGTCCACTAGGTCAAAAGTTGGCACTTTTAAAAGAAAGGCATTCATGGCAGTCACATCATCTGAAACCTTCATCCTACATACAAGATCTCAGTCTCCCTCAATGGAAGTCAGCAATGGATAAAGAACTCCAACCTCTTCATCTCAATCAAACTTGGGATCTTGTTGTCCTACCCAAAGATGTCAAACCCATAGGCTGTAAAATGGGTATTTAAACTTAAGACCAACACTGATGGGTCCATTTCAAAGCACAAGGCTAGACTGGTTGCAAAGGGCTACACACAAGAGCTTGGCATTGACTACAATGGAACTTTTAACCCAGTTATCAAACCTGCTACAATCAGTCATTTATCTCTGGCCACTTCCAACTCATGGCATATAAGACAGTTGGACATTGATAATGCTTTTCTCTATGGTGACATTAACAAAGACATATACATGGAGCAGCCACCACGTTACACAACAACATCCCCTCAGGTGCCAAACTTTTTTGCAAACTCAAAAACTCCCTTTATGGATTGAAACATGCATCGAGGTTTTAGAACTCTAAGTTGGCCTCTACTTTGACATCTCTTGGTTTCTCTTAATCCAAAGCTGACTCCTCACTGTTCTACATGCACAAAAACTCCACAAGCACATTCATTCTGGTTTATGTAGATGATATCCTTATTACAGGATCATCTCCTCAGCTCATCCACAATATAGTGCAATCTCTTCGACTCACCTTCTCTTTAAAATACCCTGGCGGCTTGAACTATTTTCTTGGCATTGAGTTCACCAAAACTATTGATGGCCTCCTTCTCAATTAAAAGATGTACATCTCAGCTCTTCTTCAGAAGCTTCAAATGCTAAATGCCAAAGGCACACCATCTCCCATGTCAGTCATCCTCACCTATTTAAATATGATGGTCAGCCACTTGAAAATGCTACATTATACATGAGTGTTGTAGGTGCCTGCAATATGCAACAATCACTCGGCCAGACATTGCTTTCAGTGTCAATAAGCTGAGTCAATACATGTAAAACCCTCTCACCACACACTGGAAAGCTCTTAAAAGAGTCCTCAGATACCTTGCAGGCTCCCACGATCATAAATTTACCATCTTCAAATCAACTAATGCACAACTCATCACTTTTGCTGATGTTGACTGTGCTAATGACACAGATGGCAGGAAATCAACCCGTGGTTACTGCGTCTTTTTTGGAAAAAACTTTTATAGTTGGTCTTCAAAGAAACAACCTACCATTTCTAGGTTAAGTACGGAGGCAGAACTCAGAAGCCTCGCATCTGCAACATGTGAAATACTTTGGCTTCGATCTCTACTATCAGAACTCAGGGTTCAATCTTCAAAACCTACCATGATTTGGGTCGACAATCTTGGTGCCATTCACTTATCTAACAATCTTGTGTTTTATTCAAAATCCAAGCACGTTGGCATTGATCTTCATTTTCTCAGAGAACAAGTCCACCACAAAATCACAGTCATTCATATACCATCTTTGGAACAAATAGTCGATATATTCACCAAACCGCTCTCAGGACAATTCTTTGCCCATCTTCGAAGCAAACTTGGAGTCAACCTTCTCCCTGGGCAAAAATTGAGGGGGTGTTAGACTTTCAAATATGACACGTCACATTGCGTGGACACCTCACCATGCAAGACAAAAATTATACAATGCAAGATAAAATAGAAACTGGACCACAATAAGCTTTTTATTTCTTTTCTTATTTCTTTTGTTTATTAAGCCTTGTTTATCGTATCTTGACATAGTGTCCTAATTCTAGTAGGTTCCTTACCCTTGTATTATTTAACGGGAACCATATATGTTGAGAGAGGCGCCACAAATGTACTCTGTAATCTCTCATCCAAGAAATACAGATCTGAGTTATATATGAATTGTGAAAAACAATTTCATGAGTGCATATGGTGCTGTGATTTCTATCATCGCATAATTTCTTTCGTAGTTAATAGGATAAAAAAATTAACTTGTTTTCACATTATAAAACTTAGCCCACACACAGTTCGAAAAATACTTTTTTCTATAAACTTTCTATAACTAAAAATTCTCGTAATTACCACAGAATTCCCTGAGTTTTCAAAAATTCTTTAAAAAATTTCATTTGAATACCTCTTAAATGGATGTATCATTGAGAATTTTCATGGAGCGTATTTAAAAATATATAATTGACTTTGTAGGATTATTAGATATCTTTGAGTGTATTTGAAATTTTAAAGTTTTATACTCTTGTAACATTTAATTTGTTATAACTTTTTAAAATCTCAGATTTCTAAGAGAAAAATGTTATAAAAATCCTTCAAAATCTTATCTACAGTCTTAAAATTTTGGCAAAATTCAAAAATCTTAAAATATCTCAACTTTAAAAATATTTCAAAATGTCAAACCAATACACTTCTCTTAAACTTTTTTCAAGGTGCTGGCTAATTTTGTTAATAAATTTTTGTCTCTGCTCATCAACATATTTATTTTGCTTGCTGAAATTACCAAGTATCAATCTAGTCACAAATTCACCATGAAACTATCCTTCATGAATATCTAGTTTCCATGCCCAAGACTTTCCGGACGCATATTGCCAACCCACAAAACTATATTAGTGATCATAGTAATGCTCACAAATGGAGACACCAATATAAAAAAAAAAAAAAA